TAATCAAGTTTTGATATTTGCAGAAGATATTGTTCTCATTTCTGACACAAATGAGCATTTACGCGGTCATCGAACGAGAAGCAGATCTTCAAAGGAAAGGAATGGTGAAGTTTTTCGAATGGAATGGTACAAAGGCCTTTCGACACCTGATCGGACGAATTACATATCCAATGTAGTCATGTAGAAGAATTGAGATGAGTTAAAAACCAACTCCACCTTACCCTTAACCGGCCTGTGTTTATTGCAGGATACATGACTATCTAAACGTCAACGGAATTTTATTTCAATCCCTCTTTCAGTGTCATATATATACTTTGCTATGAATCTACTTCTAGTATGAAGACTACATCTGTCCTATTTCTAATATTTAATTGGGTATTGAAATCCCTGATCATTCCTCTTACCACCTTGATTCATGTCATCCAACTTTCGTGGTTCGATGAATTTGCTTAGTAATTAATTTTTCTTAGGAATCTCTTCATTACTTATTCTTGTCATATGAAAGGCGTTTTTTTTTTAACTAATCCTTCAATTTTTTTACCTCCTACGTTTTTTACATTTTTGTGAATACTGAATTAGATTGGGCCGTCAGATTTCTAATGTTTTAGGCTCGGGTAAACTCGGCTGGAGTCGGCTAACTGAAGTGTTTTTGCATATGGATTAAAATATGTCAAAAACTTAAAATCGGACCTGCATGTTGTTATAAAGAGAAATGTTTATTATTTCATCTTCATTGTAATGAGCTATTATTCAAAATTGCATCTTAACGTGAGTCCATTATAGGGAGGTGAAAAGGAAAAAATAGTGTAGAAAACCAAATGATAACGAGTTTTATTGAAGATGTGGATTAAACTGTCTAAGAAACTTAAAATCGGACCTGTATACTGTAAGCGAGGGAAATATTTGGGAAGGCATTTCATCCTCTATATAATGAGCTATTATTTATAATTCATATTATTAAGCTCGCCTTATTGATGTTTTTCACTTCTATTTTTTGCTCAAAAGTACAAACCATAGTTTTTATCTATTGGCTTTTCAATGCTTGTAGATCTTTTGCTGCCATAACCACTCTCTTCTTCATCTAGCTTTAGCTATTCCTTTCCAATTATCGATTGAGGCGTCTTCGACGTATGAATTCTGGAATCGTGGGAATTCTACACTCACTGACCGTTACCCCAGAAATGACTAATTGAAATCATGGGAAGTTAAAACTCTAAACTGTTAAAATCAACAATCAACGATTCTAACTGTTTCCCTAAAACAATCGGTTGATTTTCAACAGTTCACACAATACTGCAAGTGATTCCATTGTTCTCAACTTCCAACTCCCTTTCAATTAACATTTCCAAACATTTCTGGTGAAAACGTTTGCTGTTTAATTTGAAGGAATAGCAAGTAATACGAAGTGACTTTACGAATCCATAATATAATAATGTAATAAAGTGTAGTTTTCAATGACACTTATCGAAATATTGATTCATATCTTTGAATTATCATTAATGATTTTTGAAGCAAATGGGAATAAAAGATTTTTTTGGCACGATACGATAAGGACGAGGACAACTCAGGATTTTTTTTTTTTCGTTTATTCATGATATTTACAATTGTATTAAAAAAAAAAAAATACATTTAGTAAATGTGCAGTCAGGAATATAATAACTTGAAAACGCCTCTTGAGAAACTACTTACTGCTTGGCACTCTAATAATACATTTACATAAAATCCTTCTTATGTAAGGAGCTTCTCATGAAAGAGGCTTCCTTCTTTTCAGACGCCTCGGAGGCTTATCAGGGATCGAGGAGGAAGCAAGGTTTGAAACGAGAGGGTTCATATGATTCTGAAGTCTGTTATGGAAAGATATAGGTATCTGTATTGGGCCAAATCGAAAACATATGGAACATTAAGGTCGTTATAATAAGGAGTTAATGCACTTATAGTTATTATAGTTATAGTGGAATATCAAGGAGGAAACAGAAATGAAGGTAGACCTAGTTTGCGCTGCAAGAAGATGTGGAGACTGACACTTAGAGTTGCAAGTTAAAGGAGTGTGGCTGATGAGAGAGTGGATTGGAGAAGGATTGAAGGATTTATAGAATTATGTTTGATCTCGGTAATTTCGTGTAGTTCAAATATCACCCAAAAATTATACTATATTGGATTTGGACTGGTGTTGGTGTGATGTGGAGTGGATGATTGGGAAGTGTATTAATAGGATATATTTTATTAATGTATGAAATTAAACATAAAAATAAAAAAGTAGAAACTGAGGTATGTGCTGTACACCACGCCACACAACTGAAAACATCTACAAGGCGAGATTAGTAGTTGGTAATAAGAATCCCTTTTACCTCGCTAACAATACACAGGTTCGAATTTTAGTTCCTGAGATATTTTAATCCATGTACAAAATTAGTCGACCTCAGCCGACTTTACCCGAGCGTTACACATCAATCTAATCCACTCTCCACAAAAGAAGTGCAAAACTTGCCTAAAGATGTTTTCACTTCAAAAAAAAAAAAGTTGCTGTCTTTCAGGTCTTTTGCATTGTGATGATGAATATTGTTTTTTATAAGGTAGGAATTCGAATCTGAGGATCTGTAGTAAATTGAAATTTATATGCATGCTCATTTATGATAAAAATTATATGTTAAGGATGCTTCCAATATCTAGACCCTCCAGCTCTCTTATCCTTTATCCTTCAGGTTGTTGAAGATATGTTTAGTTCATCTTTATTTTCTCTTCTTAAAGAATAATAAGATTGGGAATGTTTCGCTTATTGGCTCAGTCTCATCAGTGTAGATATTGGCGTACACGAATGGACATCAATAAAATATTGGGGATGTCCATTGGAAGATAATTTATTTTCATTTTCTTTTGACATTTGTGCTCTACGGGCTGATTCCTTAACAAACTATTAATTTTTCCCGCTTAATGAGTTAATAAAAGGGACACTCACCTACACTTACTTCTGTTAGATTTGAGACGTATTGCCAGTTCTGCACCTTTCTGCGCATCTCCAGAAGAACACTGAGGGTAGCGAAACTGTGGAAGAAAGGACACCGCTGCTATTTGTTTTACTGCCCGAGGCCAGTTTTATTTGTTTGCGGGAGGGAGCTAGAACCGCCCCCCTCTCCTGGTATTTATGGCTTCCCTTATCTTGTAGCTGTCTTCTCTTCGGCAAAGTCTAATATAAATTCGCTCTGTTTGAAACATTTCCCACAAGTTTCCTCTTCTTCTTTATCATCCCGTTGACGTCAATGGAAAGCAAGGGTGTCTCCTATCGGATGTGTTGTTTCATGTTTTGTCGGACAAACATCCTACTAGTTTGGCTTTGGTGGAATTTTTTTTTTTTTTTTATTTACTTGTGACATATGATAGTGATAGTACAGAAATCCTTATAGATTATTTTTATACAATGGTTATCGTTTTACATTCTCTTAAGGAACATATGGAACATTAATAACAATAAAATGGCTTAGCGAAGGTTCGATGCCGACACCACCAATCGCTGTTTACATCATCAAAACTCAACTCCACCAGATCAGCCTTAACCCGATCCTCCCACCTTCGCTTGGGCTTACTCCTTGTAAGCTTACCAGTCGACAGAGCATATGGTAACTTTTAGGAGATTCTTACCTAGCAATTTTACATGCCCATTTTATTCGCCGCGAAAATCTGCTCAATTATATTAACAGGGTACAGTTCACTCAACTCTGCATTGTGTTTCTGTTTAAAGTCTCTAGTTGAATCATCCTTCTTCGGTCCAAATATTCTGCATCTATTACTTTATTTTCAAATAAACTTAAGACGTTGCTCATCATTTGCTTTAAGCGGCCATATTTAACAATCATGAAGAACCATCGGAAGGATTGTGGTTTTGTGATTTCCAATTTTTAAATTTCGGGACCACTTGGAATCTCCATACCAGACTGAAACGACGAGAAACCGCTCGACGTTTTGGACTACTCTAGCATTTACTAGACAAACGCTCTAAACTTCTAATTACTTACAAAAGACTTATATATATGACTATAATAAGGCCTATTTGGACTTACGGAATCGAGCTTTGGGGTTCCACTAAACCATTGAATTCCTCTCGTATTCAATCCTTACAATCCAAAATCCTATGTAAAATCCTCTATGCACCTTACTTTGTCACAAATAAAATCATCCATAACGACCTCAACGTACCATATGTTTGCGATTTAGCCCAATCCAGATACCTATCCTTCCATAATAAACTTCTGAACCATCCGAACCCTCTTGTTTCCAACCTTGCTTCCTCTTCTATTCCTGATAACCCTACGAGGCGTCTGAAAAGAAGATGGCCTCGGGACCTTCTAATATAGAACTTTAATTTGAGTTCTACCAATGGGTAGTTTCTCTTCATGTTGTATATTTCATGTTACCAACGTCACATATACTTGTATTTTTCATGTAATACAGTGATGAGTTTCATTATAATAATAAAAAAACATCCAGCATTTCCCGCCATCAACCTAATATTTATCTCCTCTTAATTTTCTTTTTTCTTGTTATCGTCTACTTTAGACACCTAATATTCTCTACATGTATTCATAAGTAATCTCTTGTATATCCATATCACCGAAATTATTGCTATATTTATAGTTAACCTAACATTATTTCTAGTCCCAGTTTTGTACAGGGTTCCATTTATTGTTGCTGTATTAAGTTTTATAGTTTGTTTGTCTTTGCTCAACATTACAAAATCATCATCATCATACCTAATTACTGATATTTTCACAACCAGATTCAAACTTTATTCGGTTTGTATCACATCTCTAATGGCATGTTTTGATGCCACGTAAAATCGGAATGGCGTAAGGGAATCACCTCATTTTCAATCATAACGATCCTGAAATTTTGCAGATAAACAATTACTGATTCTAACTTTATTGAATATGTTTGGGGAAAAAGTATTATTGTAATATTTCCTTAAATGATGAAATATATATTTTAAATTTGCCTCCGGTCGTGGTCTATAGGAAGCTATGGAAAACTGGGATGGTTATTGGAGCCGAAACGTGTTCGGGAGAATCCCATTTATCATTTAAGAGAAATGAGGTAGGAGGTCGTGATGGGGAGATATCTGCTGAATAATAGTCTGACTCGTTCCGGCCCTGGGACTGGCTCTGTGCTCCATGGTCGCCGTTTGATCCGGTTCTTCCAGGATGTTCTATCCTTCTGCCGATGGCCCTTATGGCTGGGTATTGTCCAATGGTACATGGAATCGATGGATGGATGGATGGGTCATCGAAATCGAACAATAATGTTGACGTCAGACATCAATTATTTATACTCCTGTTAATTATGAAAGTTGGTAGTAGAGTCCTATTTACTAGTGTATCTGATTAATGATGTTATTATGATTGATACGGTGTGTACTGAAAAAAAAAAACAGTCTCATCTTAATACATTGCACAATTGCAAGGTACTTAGTAAACTATTGTTTAAAATTTTTTTTTTTACCATCAACTAAAATAATTATAATAATACTGTTGAGAACTTGGGCCTCTCTACAGCTACAATAAATGAAGCCCAGAAAGCTGTGAAGCTGAACACTGCGAGAATCGTAAGGAGCTTCCTAAATATCCAATCGAACTAAAAAATTGACGTGAAGTGGTTGAAGTTAATTCCTCCCCACTCCAGGAAAATGCATTTTTTTAAAGTTATCAATAAGAAATAAGCTGTAAAAATGAAAATATACTGTGTAAGATTATATACCGATAAATTTTAAATATCTATTACCTGTATTCCTATCAAAAGGAATAATATATATTCGAAAAAACTTCAGGAACAGAGCAAATCGGTCATGTCTAAATGTTCGTTTTTTCAGATCGAGATTTATTTGTCCAAAGTTTGATCCAATCGCAATTTTTATAACTTGATTTTAAAAAAGTACTTCTTTGATGATGAATCACACACACTAAAGTATCCAAGATTTAATATTTGGAAGGGGCTTCATTCCGAAGGGGCTTCATTCCGAATTTTTTTTTTTTATAACGATTACTACTTTGGAAGAAGGATATATATATATATATATATATATATATATATATATATATATATATATATATATATATCTACCGATTGTAAAATTGGTTGCTCTGTCATTATTACAAAAATCACGTATTGGCTGCTTTTCCTTATACGACATTTTAGGACTAATCATCTGGATACACTGCAGTACTGCATCATCCATTTGGTGAGACAATACAAGTTCGCCATATGTAGCATGATGATATCCCATTAGAGATGAACGATACCGCCGAGAGGTTGCGTGGAGCTGACAGCCGGACGGGGATTGGCCCATTGAACCGCGAAGGTCGCGTCACCCATTTATTGGGAACAGAAGAGCCGCGGGACAGAGCCTCTTTCATTCAGCCTCTGATAGCGACTCGGATGGCTTCTCTGCCATTTCAATTCGGCCATTCAACTCGATGTCTCTTCTGCAGGGTCCCATCATGGGTCTATATAAATCCCTCTCTAGTAGGCAGGCAACATTACCGGCAATAGTCTAGTTTAGTTAAAATCGCGTCTGCTCATCTTAAATAAACCAGAGACACTCTGGAGAGTATTCAACTAGATTCAGAAGAGGATATAAGTATCCACTTCAATGTAAAGACTTGAGTTTCTCTGTTAAAAAAAAAAAAATACATACAGATTGAATCAGGAGAAAAGAACCAAGCTCAGGAGGAGTGGGTTGCACAAATGAAAATAAAAACAATGCATATAATCCATGATACAGACCTCTTTTTGTCAAATTCTTAACATCCGCCTGAAACTTCGTAAATAGTGACATCTCTTCGTAACCTGCAACTATTTTAATTACGAAAACTTTTGGAATTGGAGCTTTTTCAATCTGATGGGGAGCAAACTTTCTCAATTTAATTAGGTACTAAAAACTCGTAAATACACATTTTCTTTCTACTTGGATCGTAAGATAATTTGATCACAGAATAGATTAAAAGGTGACCTACAAAAATATTGGGCTGTTTGTCCCATATAACATCGTTATTTTGAAATGTGGGGGATGAAGGTAGGTCAAATTATCTTACGATTCAAGTAGAAGTTCAAGTTTTTAGTATCTAATTAAATAGACAAAGTTTGCTCCCCCCCCTCCCTCCAGATTGAAAACGCCCAAATTCCAATAGTTTTCGCAAATAAAATAGTTGTAGTTTACGATGAGATGAAACTATTTATGAAGTTTCAGGGGAATGTTAATAATTCGATAAAAAGTGGTCGGTACCACAGACTAATATCCGCTTATCTGATTTTCATTTGTTTAAATTTTATTGGCTAATTATATACAAACAACATAGTTGAACAGCCGTGCAATTTGATTACATTTCTCTCTGGGCCTTTATGAATCGAGTTGAGTAACAAATTCTAAAACTAAGTAGTCAGAATCATAAATTCAGAAAAGATATGACAGTTTTTAGGTTGAGATCTGGTATTGAAGAGAAGAAGAATGGAAATTGGAAATTAAGATGCAAGAAAGTACAAAAGTGTTTTATTTGTTAAAGATTCTATCGCAAAGGCACATAAGAGGATTAGTCGTTGAAAAATAGGAAAAAGCAACCATTTATCGAAATACCTGCGAATCTCTATATCTTTTTCATGGGAATGGAGTAGTTTAGTGAGTTAGTCACTGGGCTGCTGAGCTCGAGGACTCAGGTTAGAATCTAACAGATGTCAAGTAGTATTTTTTCAGCTGTAGCTCGACTCTGGGATCGGGAGACCCTCCTGGGGTACACCCAGCCTCTATAAAGAGGGTATTCTTAATTAAATAATTAATTAAGGAGGAAAAGCTTGGCGGTTGATTGTGGTCCTGCCCTCTATTCACAACCGTTGGTCTTAAAACAATACTTCACAACTAAGTACTGATCCCAAAACCTTTCATGGTAGAGTGGTACAGATATATATATATATAGATTGATTTTATTTTCGCTGTGAATTGGAATCAAACATGTTAAGTTTTTTAGTAATTTAGAACTGGTAACTAATTTTTAAACTAACTGGAATCACTTAACGAGAGCTTCCGATTAAATCTTAAATTAACGTCCTAGGTTAAACTCATACTGTCAAATACATCTTGGATCGGTTCTTCCAAAGATATTCTTGGTACTAATATCTTAATTGTAACAGTTTAGAGCGATGGACCGGATTGGTCCAATTGGAACATTGCCTTTGTACAAGAGGACTTCGGGGTACTTAGGTAATAGAGCTAACTGCCCTCTGATTGGCTGAAGCACTTCCCCCTCCCCCGCCGTCATTGCTTTCTCCAGAACAGCCAATGAACTTGATTACACGACCGGCTTATCTTCCCATAGTTTGTCCAATAATTGGAAAGAAGTAATCTCCTCAATGGGTTTTTAGGGATTTCTCTTTACTAACTCTGGAAAACAGCAATGAAGGCTCGTATAAAAAAAACTATATAATTTTTGAATAATTAAACTTTATTTTTTTTTAACCTCAACATTTCAATCACTCCGATAATTTACTATCAAATAATTTTGTATAGAAATGATTTCACTTTTTGTAAGTGCGTCTTTTTCGCAGAACCGTAAATTTGTGAGGCATGTGTCTAGATGGGCTTAAGTAGGCAAGTGTATGTGTTTAGTTTTTGTCAGATTTTCAGTTTCGTCAGTCTTTCTCTCCATTTTAACATGTTGTCCCCAGGTCATCCTTCTGTCGAATATTAGCATTTAATATGATAACGAGAATAACAAAACACGTAGTTGCGTCTTCACTCTCATGACGTAGATACGACCCCACTAATTTTCTTTAACGCTAAATATCATTCCAAACATGCATCAGATATATTCATTTTTCTTTTTTCATTTATTTCTTTTATGACCTAACCTTCATCGGCGAATTGAATAAAAAAAATTGCATGCAATTGCTCTATACATTGTGTCTCGTAAGCATAGCAGAACTTAAGAGCTACACAATTTTTTTTAAAAAAACAATGTGTCAATTCTCAGCAGAAAAATTGAAAATCCATATTTTGTGTGTTTTTTTAAAGTAATTTATGTTTTTTGTTCCTCGTCCAACTATATTACACATATTTCAGAAGAAAAAAAACCGCTACTTTTAGGGGACAGGTAAGTCACATCATTTTTACACAACTTAAAGTAAATCTCAATTTTTCCCTAATAAACCGCAACTTAATCAATAAGCAGTCAAAGCTAATTAAACATGTAAGTTTTTCTATAAGTGGGGTATCTGTAGTATAGTTGGATAACGATAAAAAAAAATTGCGAATAATTTATGATTTTTTTAAAACGGAACTTAGCTTAGTTTAGCCGCTGAAAAGTCTTTAAATGGTTTTAACAATAACTATCTCTATTTTAATTTAACATAAATTTAGTCTAGCTTACGTTGAAGCAGTTGTTAATTACTTCAACTAAATATTTATTTAGTTATCGCTTCCTATTCAATAAAAATCATGACTTGTTAAAAAAAAAAAACTTGGATTCTCTTCTTTTCTGCTAAAAATTGGTCCATTGTTTGAGGTCTGCTGTCGCTCTTATAAATAAATAAAAAAATAATTTTCCATTAATACATAATCCATTTAAGGTGTATTATTTTCAAGCGTTTTGTTATATTTTATATGAATTATGTCTTTACGGCAGCTCTTTGTATATCCTGTATCTCGAGAATGATAATTACTAAATAAAACTGTTTCAGTTTTAATTACAATGGATTAAATATATAATTAGTAAATAAAATTTATGTGTAATGTCCGTAAATGCCTGTAATGGAAGTAATAAAGCTGTCCAAGAAAACGGTGGCTGGAAGCAAAGGGTTGTAATTGCAGGTGGGACGATGCGATGTGTTGTGGAATACAATTAGTAATGCACTTAGCTTGCATTATTCTCCATTCCTTCACCCCTCATTCCTTTTTTTTTTTTTTTTTTGTAATGTACTTTCATTATTAAACTTAATTCTCTTCATCTTGTCCAGTAATTCCTATTATGTTTATGGATTCCCTCTTCCATTGTTATATTAGGATCTTCATTTCTGCCTCCACGTTTCTAATGCATTGCGAATTATGTTGAGGAATGAGAAATCCTTCTTCGTGATGGATCCATCTATATCTTTTATGAAAATTCCTATGTTTGTCTGGACATACAATAGAAATCGTATTCTTAAACAGCACATAATTTTCTCGGGATTTATAGTTGTGAACTCTTCAGGATTAAGTAGCTATTGCCTGAAAAGGGTGCGCACACAAGAAACTGTTTAGTACTATTGGAATGAGGATTGAAGGATTGATGTTTATTTCTCCTGAATTCAGCGAGTGCAAAGGTTTTTAAACATTTCACAAACTATGGAAAACACAGTTATATAACTAAATTAACCCTTAAATCTGCACTTGTTTGAGTTAAAATTTTTTTGAGTTTTTTTTTTTTTTGTTTTGTTTCGATAAACATTTAGGCCCGATTATAGATTTTGGGAAATGTGGTTCTAATAAACGGATGTAGAGGGTTCAAATTGTGGTCAATCGGAGATTTTTTTTTTAACATGTACGATAGGAAAAATTTATGTTGGCTTCACTGTTGATACACTCTACCACATAACGACACTTTTACCTTCTAAACCAAGGCGCAGATGGTGCCGAAATAAAGGATTAAGTCTTGAATGAACTGTAAACCAACTATTGTTTTATCTCTAACAAGCTTTAACGTCAGAATTGAATATCAAAGTCATAGAAACTAGAGTGCACAGGATAAGAAAATGGCTAACAGTTATTGGTATTATTGCTGAACAAAACTATTTTATTTTCTTGATGCCGATAACAGATGAAAAATATCAAGAACAAGAAACAAAAATACTAGCATAGTGAAATAACCAATTACATGTTTATAAAGATGAAACAAAGTTGTCAGGAATTTCAGTCAAGTTGTATTAGGTAACATGTTGATCATCCTCATTACTATAGAGTTCTTATAGTAATAGTTCTGAACGATAGCCCTGAGGATGACATATTTGTGTCGAAACGTCGGCTAATCCAATAAGAATATCTTCTCTGAAATTCCTGACAATTTTCTATCATCCTTATAATTGATCAGTAGACTACTTACCCATCTCTAAGTATTTATATATTTGTTTGTCCTATAGTTTGTGAAATGTCTAACTGTCTTTAATGTGCCTTTAGAGTTTTTCTTATGGGCCGAAAAATTGTTTGGAGTATTTCTTACTTTATTATTATTACTATCCTTTACACAGTTTATACAGCTGATATCCCAAACTACCAACCACCAAACAATCAAATTCCTCTCTTATCCAATCCTTACAAACCAAAAT